TGCTCCTCTGGATTGCACACTGCGGTGACACACAAACAACAACAACAACAACAACAACAACAACAACAAAATCAAGAAACTTGCATTACTGCAGAGCTGAAGCATCACACCAAACCCTGCCACGGAGCAGACACAACAGCAGACTGCCCTGGGTGCCAGCGCAGCCTGCAGAGCAGGTATCTCCTGCAGCCCACCCTGCGACTTTCAGCCATTGCTGCTCGTGGAAAAACAACAACCAACAAAAAAAAAAAATCAAGAAACTTGCATTACTGCAGAGCTGAAGCATCACACCAAACCCTGCCACGGAGCAGACACAACAGCAGACTGCCCTGGGTGCCAGCGCAGCCTGCAGAGCAGGTATCTCCTGCAGCCCACCCTGCGACTTTCAGCCATTGCTGCTCGTGGAAGTCCAACAACAGTCTTTCTTCTACTACATGAACTAACTTTGGACCATTTTCAAAGAAAAGTCAGTCATAAAAAGGGGCAAGTTCTTGCAGGCAGGGTATTGCGTTGTACAGACTGAGGCCTACCCAAGTCCATAGTGCAACCTGGTTAAACAGCACTTAATTTTTATATTGCATTTATAACACACAAATATTTGCCTTTGCATTTTCCGTCAGTAATAATGAACCATTCTTAGAGCAGCTGCTTCTCCATGCAGGCAATGCCAACTAATGCGCACTTAAACCAGAGGGTGAGCAGCTGCAGCAGAAGCCAGCGCTGCCTGGCAAGTTGAGTTTCCATTGAAAGGAAGAGGGCAGCCTGTGCAAGAAGCACGGTTGCAGCTGAGGATGTGATGAACCAGCCATCTCCATTTCCCTCTTCTCCCCACTGCCTGCCTCCAGTAAGCTAAACCAGCATCTGAAACAACTACCCCCTCCAAGTGTCCAGCAGCCTTCGCATTGCAGAGCTGCCCCTTGCAGCACGGGGCGTGGGATGGAAGGAGGTCTGGACTCCGCGGTCACAGCACGTGGTGGCAGGAACCCTCCTAGCTCTGGTCACCGCAAACACCTCCTGGAGACCCAGTCTTACAGAGGGGAAGTTGGCAGGGAGGAGCAGGAGGAGGAGAGCCTTGCAATAGGGGTTACTTTTTTTGTTGCATCTACACGTGTACCTAGTACAGCAGGGTCTTCTAACACTTGAACTCCAAGGGACAGATGGATAAACATAGCAAAGTGACTCAAATATGATTCCTCTAAATACCGTTAAGGTATAAATGCCAAAGGGCACCACTTTGAGGTTTTCGTGATTTTTCTACGCTGTAGTTATGCACGCATCCCTTTTACTGTCTGCACTGGTTCTTGCAGAGCGGTCAAATTACATCCCACTTTTCTGAGCTTGAGGGTGCTTGTGATGACAGTAACAGGCAACAGAAATGGATCCTTACGGCCACAGTTAATCTCTCTGCTTGACCCGCCTTTTTTTTTTTTCTTCCGGCACAGTATGAAGAAAGCCCTGCTGCTGCAAGGGTCAGTACCCTCGAGATGGCTGATAAGCTTTGAATTCTACCGACTTGTGAAATGTGGTGAAGGTTTGTTTTGGTCCCGTTTGTGGGAAAGAAGAAATTACATCAGGAAGATGACGCTTAACATGAAAAGAGAAGCAGCAGAGGTTTCTTAAATTGTGGATTGGTTCAGTTTTATATGCATTATATTCCTTTTATATGAGGTGCTGTAAGATTTTTCACATGTTCTGGGGGAAACTGCAAAGCAATGAAAAACTTCCCAGTTTCCCTTGCAGGAACCGTTCCTGCAAGGGCATTTTGACAAGTGAACTAATTGCATTACAGTAACTTTGAAACCCATGCTGTTAACAACAGAATAAATCCAGGAGTTGAGATCAGATATTGTAGAAGTTTTGCTCTGCTGAGTGATTCCTTTGGCCCTGATCAGACCAGGGATACTGGACCAGGAGAGCCCATGATATAACACAGCAAGGACAATTTTATGCTCTTTTTTTTCCCCTCTCATCATAAAAACTGTGTATTTTAGGAAGTTAAAAGATAATCTATATTTTGGCCAAAAATTTTCTATATTACAAAGAATTCCAGATACTTGCAGTGAGCAAACTTTCCCTATAAAGTAAATATTATGGAGTAGTGGAAGAACCCATGCCATTTCCACACAAGGGAAGAAGAGTCCTTGGCGTTGAACCAGGCAACTGGTTTACTGCATATTTGCAAATGTACATTCTCACAGGCTTCAACTCCCATCTTACAGAAACATTTATGCTCTTCACCGGTGTTAAGCAAGGAAAGGGATGTGACTATTCTGTACAAAGAAGCTGAGCAGATCATGCCTCAGAAAGCAAAATACCGTGTCCTTTGACAGGCGCCCAAGACGAATCACTTGGAAAGATCATCTGTGGCTGAAGCACAAGACAAGGAGGGCTGAGCTCTGCTCCCAGTGGTTCTGCTCCACGCTCGGTGTGTGACCTAGAGCAAGTCACGAATTCTCTGTTCCTGTTTCCTCTTTGGTGAAAATGATGACAATGAACATGTCATTCTCAGCAGAATTATGAGTACTCATTAACTTGCATTTCCAAGTGTTTCTCATTCTTCGCTGGAAATACATTGCAAATGTCACTGCCCTACCACTAGCCCACTGTATTATCGACTCTAAACTAACACAAGTGCATCAGACAAACTTCAGCCCTGCCACACTTATTCTCACAATTTGTTCCATCAGAAAACAGCACTTTTATAAGAAACCACTGTTCAAATCAGTCAAGCAAAGGAGAACCTGAAAGGCTGGCTGGGAGCAGCATCTCTCCAGGCTTGCCTTGCTTTCATATTCCTGACTTGCAGGTCCTGCTCACGGTTGCAGAGGGGATATTAGATTAACTGGCTCTTTGACACAGTATGGCTTTTCCTATGTAAGCTTACACTACAACTTTCCTGGAGCCCCCTAGTATTTTGTACTGCTACTTGTCCAAGGCATTGGCTATGGAAAGTTGCACCCTGTGCAACCACTTACAGACTCAGAATTAAGCACATGTTGAATGCAGTGGAAAAACTTTACACATCAGCCCCAAATAAATACAAGTTCCCTGTTTTGCATCCTCTGAAAGGCTATGAATTGAGAGGTGAGAAATAATGAGGAGCTCCTCCTGGCTCCTACAACAAGGTACACGAAACATGCTGGGAGCTATAGCATGGAAATCTGAATTTCCAAGGTTTGGTCAAGAGTTGAACAGGTTCCAGGCAACAAGGAGACTCCAAAGGGAATAATTGCCCAAACCCAAATGGCTCCAGAAGGAAGCAAATATGTCGTGGTACCTGGAGAAAAGGTATGAAGAACACTGAGGTCTGCTCATCATGCTGCATTGATCACAGTCCTGAACACCGCAGCAGAAAAAAAAAAAAAAAAGAAAAAAAAAAAAAAAAAAAGAAAAAAAAAAAAAGACAGATACAGAGGATACTGAGGAACGGGACAAACCACCTGAAAGCTATGATGTAAAAATCCCTTTTGAAATACGCAGGCTCATTCATATACATATGGAGGACACCTGGAGAGCAGCAATTTAAGAGAAGCCTAAGGAGCAGGGTGGACAGAATGAAGCACATGTTTTAGAGGGGAAAAAAGGCCTGTGTGGTTTTAGGCAACATATTTAGGACCAGGGATCCAGAGGAAAGGCTCTCAGGACTATGTGGTCAGACATTAAATTGTAAGCTGTAGACAGCAGAGGGTTTTTTGTCTTGTTTTGGTTTTTTATCTTTTTTTTCTTGAAGCTGCACCTTGCTCTCAGGGAACCCAGCCATGGCCCAGTTATAGCACTATGTTGAGGGAAGCACTTAAAATGACACAACTAACCAAGAATAATGAGACACAGAGAAATACTAGAAGTTCAAATGAAAGAAATACAAATGGTAGCAAGGTTGCCAAACATTGATTAATGGAGGAAATAAAGTGCCCGTAGGATGGGATTTGCAAACAGCCTGCCAGTCTAGAAGGGTCTAAATAACCCAAAGAGAGAGGAATAATTTTTAAGCTGTATAATTAGAAAAAGCAAAGTGAGATTCTGTAAATTTAAACCACTGGAGGAAATCCAATGTACGCCATTCACAAGGCTCAGCAAGAGCTGGCTGTAGAAAATGGTCTTTCTGAAAACAGGGGAAGACCAGCAATGATCCCAACTGTAAAACACGCTGACCATTAGCCACCTGGCATTGCACGAAGCTACAAAAAGAGCACACTCTATTTGCAAACAACCGCGGAGCCAAACCTCACTCAGATCTTTCCCCTTGAGAGGAAAGGGCTGCCCTTTTGAGGCAGCTGACCTGGGATTGGGGTTTGGTTCCCGGCTCTGTCATGAGCTGCATGTGAACCTCCAAGCGAGTCATATAGCCGGTCTGGGCCTCAGTCTTCCACTCATGGACCTGGGGTCACAACACCGTCCCACCTCCCGGGGCTGCTCAGGGGTTGCCTACATTCAGGATGGCAGGGTGGTCAGAGCGCGAGGGGGACTGCATCCCTCCGGGGGAGGCTGAAAAGCTGTAGCTGGGCTGCAAAGACCATACGTGCTCGTCCCACATCTGAGGGACAAGTGTGCTCACGCTCTCTTGAATAAATCTGTTCGGTAGGGTGGAGTCTGCCTTATTTTTACTCTACATGCAAATTATATCCCTCAACAACCTCACTGCAAATATTTTCTGGTTTCTCACACCCTGCCCTGGGCAGGAGCAGGCTGTTTTCCCTGCAGATCTTCTGGCTTCCTTTGGAGCTTTGGGTTTGGGCTATTTTGATTTTAAAGAAGCGAGAGAAGCTTGTGAGACAGGGCAAGTTGCAGGGAAAAAACAAAAATCAAACAACCAGAGGGAAAAACAGGCAGGTGAAGCTGTTCTGCTAAACCCTGCTCTCCCAGTGCCGGAGGCGCAAGATGCCATGGGCTCCGACTTCGCCACCTCCTCCGAGCGACAGGCGAAGAAACAAACCTCCCCGGGTGAGATGCAACACCCACCTTCCCCCTCCTCCGGCTCAGCCCTGGCAGCGCAGTCTTACCTGTTTGCCAGCAGCAGCGAGGCAAAGGAGAAGGAGCCAGCAGCCTGACGGGACGGGCATGTCTGGGTGTCCGTCTCTGCCTCCTCCTGTGGCTCCTTTTCCTGCCACCGAAGAGAAACTAGATCCTTCCAGCCAAGCCCCCGCACCCTGGCAGCAGAGCGAGGCACATTTGAGCTAGCTACTTCTCTTTCTTCCTTTCCTTCCTCTCAGCTACACGAGGGGAGAAGAGAGAAGAAGAAGAAGAAGAGAAAAAAAAAAAAAAAAAAAAAAAAAAAAGGCGCCTGGCTGTAGTTCCCACAGCATTTCCTCAGACTTGACATGCAGGGTTTTTTTTTTTTTCCCCTCTTCTTGTCCCTCCCTTTCCTTTCTCCTCCCCCTTTTACAAGAAGTTTAGTCACCATGCCCACGTCCCTCCTCCTGCCGATGGGGACTGCTTTCCCGGTCCTTCTCAGCCAGGCCATCCATCCACCTGCCTCCCACCCACCCTCTGCGCCCTCCCTTCCCAGCCCCTCCTTTCACCTGGCACCTTCCCTCGTTGTGCAGCTGTCCCATGATTGCCTTCTCTGGCCACCTCTGGATATTGCCTTACGCTGTCAGAGGACATCTTAGGCCTCGGCCATGCCTCGGATGGCCTCCCACCTCGCTCTCTGATCTGCCCTGGCACAACCGCCCTCCTGCCAGCACCTGCCCCTAGCAGTGGGGAAAGCCTTCCGTGCCGTCCCATCCCCTGTCCTATCTCTGCTCCCACGAAACAGCCCTGCGGGTGCCAGCCTTGGTGTTTTGGTGCAGCTCAAGGCCTCCCAAGTACTTTGTTTTGGCCGATAGCGGGACCTGGCAGGTGGGATTGCTGCCAGGGGAAAGAAAAGCGGAAGATGTGCTTCGGGAGCTCTCCTAAAACACCCCGCGCCATGCAGGGGGTCAGTCCCTGGCACCTGACTTGGGAAGTGAGCGCCAAGTGGCCTCCCGCCCCCCAAAACATGGGCATTGCTGACACTGCCAACACAGCAGCAACCGCCTTGCCTGGCAAAAGAGCGGCTGCAGCTGGTGGCATGCCGTCCAAACCCAGGCAGAGCTTGTGGTGCCCCTTGACTTGTGAAGGGCGCAGGAGTCTTCTGCAGTAGGGCAGGACAAGGCAGTGCCGCACGGCAGCGCTGATTTACGGGGTTCTGAGGAGCCGGCAGAGCTGACCATGTTCTTACACCACCTTCCCTGCCTCCCTGCGCTGTGAAATAAGCCGGGAGCATGCTTCTGACTTGAGTGAATAAGGAAGTTGTTCTTTCACTTGTGTATTTAGATTTAACCCTTGACCAGGAAAAAAGTTATTTATAAGTTGCTTTATGTTTGCAAATAAATAAATAAATTCAAACACAAAAAATGAAGAGTATATAAACCAAAAATCCTTTACCTGTGCTGCTGAGGTCTGATTTCTGCTCAGAAGAGCGATCCTGAGAACCAGGGAGCACTCGGGTTGGAAACAGCTGCCAGGTTTCTCTCCTGTAGCTAGCATGGAGACCCTGCCTGCATGGCAAAACAAAGCTATGACCTTCACTTCACCTCTACGTAGTTTCCAGGGGCCATAAAGCCAGACATTTTTAATCTTCCTAAAGTTTCTTTCAACACTTAACACCCTCAATGTCCTCTGCAAGCGTTGGGCCCTGCCCGATCTGCACTCAAGCAGGTCTCAGCGCCCACATTCCCCCGCCTGGTCTCCGACATGGCGTGGCTGTTCAGGCACTGGTAGCTCCTACATGGGTTTGATGCTCCACAATGGGATATGGAGCAAAACGACACTGCACGACGTGCCTGGCTTACGGCCAGTGGCTGGTCCTGCTGCCCGTTCACCTCAAGAAGAGCTAGGGCAAGGGACATGCCGATAGGTTTTAGCAAGCCATAGAGCTTGCAATTGCATCAGAGCATCAGAGCCCTGTTGACCTGCCAGAGGAGTTGGGGTCTCACCACACTTGGGCTGGACAGGCTACAGCTCTAGTACCGAACAGAAATTGAGTTGGGGGTGAGGGGTGGGAGGGATGGCCGCAGCACCCAGCTTGCCTGGTAGGCAAGATGTACAAAGCCGACTTCACTGGGGCCTTTGCAAGGTAAGGCACGAGGTGTGGGTAACGCACGTGCCCGGCTGCTGGCAGCGGTGCTATTCCTATTCCCCGTCGGTCCTGGAGTGAGCCTGGTGAGACAGCGGGGCAGCGCCGGGTGGAGATCCTTCTGCCAGAGCCACGTCCACCCACTGCCGAAAACTCACAGCCCTGTGCCCGCCGGGGTGTTTTAAAATGTTCGTATTTAAGATACAAGGAAATGTTTCTTTTTAAACAGAACAGTCTGTTAAGTCTCTTCCCCTTTTCACATTTAGCACAGTACCAAGGCTATAGGCTGTGTTTATTTACCAGCTGCTCATTCTAACCACAGATTTACAGGAGCAAACTCACACTGTCATGAGCAGTTAGACACACTATAGGCTCGCTCTGAAGGTGTTGAGTAAAGGCTTTGAAGGCGTTGAGTAAAGCCAAGCCCTGTTCAGCTCAGAGGAGCTCCAGATAGTTCAGTATTGCACGTTAGCTCAATTACTTTTGCGTTCTCATCCCTGACCCTGCCTGAAGTATTTCTTGTTCAGCCTGAAATTTTTCTCATTTTCTACCCCTATGTGAAAACAGCCTTCTTTTTGAAAGCTCAGACATTTTCTTCCGAGTTAAATTTTATGTTTCTGAGCCCAAACCCGCAGAAGCCACTACTGGGTGCTTTATAGTCTTAATTATGTATTGCAGGAGATCGTTAGAAACTGAAATGTGAATGCTCAAAAATATGAACTAGGGATTGTATAGGAGAAAATGCTGTCAATGCTCTCACATTTATTGCATATATCATTCTATGTAGCACCAGTAAAAACTAAAAATTTACACCAAAACTGGTTTGTCAGCCTTTCCTTTTATAGAAAAGACTTTTTTTTCTATTATAGAACACTAGTTTTTCAGCTACCTGTGCAAAGCACCTATTTTGAATAAAACCAAAATGCTTGAAATCTGAAAGTTTCAAACTTACGGTGGCGTTTGGGTGCCTCCTGTTTCTGTTCACCACTGTGGCATGCGAGCCTAAACTGGACTGGCCTTCGGGCTGCTCTTTCTAAAGAAGAGAGATGGAAAACCATGTGCAGCCTTAGAAGTGCGACAGAATCAAAATAGTCCCCTGGATAATATCAGGATCCCTTCCTTGGTGAAGCCTGCCATGGAAAACAAACCGTGAGCACAGCTGACTGCTTAGCAGGTCTGCAGTCAGTACAGATCTCTTCTTACCTCCTTCCTAGAGAGAAAAAAGTGGAAATTACATCCTAAATAATATTTTAAAAGAACTACAGCATTCAATGTAATACCACAAGTCATGTAACTGAAAATGAAACCACGTCAGCGTCAGTGTAAAAATGCCTCTTTTCCAAGAGCTTGGATAAACAGCGACTAACTCCCAGGCAGTCCCTGAATTTGACTCTCGGCTTTCCAAAACTTTCAACCTGAAAAGCAAAGATAAGGAATGGTTCGGTGGATGCACCAGTCGACTGGGCATCTGAACAGCACCTGTAGGCTCACGTTCATGTCCCCAGCTATTCATTCACTTTATCCATGCCGCTGAACTCCCCTGCCCCTTACCCGCACAAGGGCCCCAGCCCCTCGTGATGCCCTATTTCCCCGGGAGTGAGAACTAGGAGGCTGCGTGTTAAAACCTGGGCCTTTGAAACGACACGAAAGAAACCCATGCAGAGAGGCAAAACGGAAAGGCACGTGGCTGTACCCCAGGATGCCTTTTCACACCGCGCAGGAAGGCTGTGAAGGTGCTCCCATTCTCCTTCCTGCCGAGGGACAGGGGATGAGATGAAGGGTTTTGTTGGACCTAGATCAATGTTTTTCTTCCACTAGATGTTGTAAAGGTTGGTTGGGGTTTCGGACTCTGAACTAAATACAGGCTTTGTAAATATAAGCACCTACCTTTCAGCAGGTGAGCGAGAAATCCAAGACGTGTGCAAAGTTAGAGCTCTAGGAAAGAGTCCCTTAAATCAGGGGGATGCCTTGGGGGGCAGGTGGGTCGCAGTGCAGCTTCTGGAGCACCAGCAACCCATGCATGGAGTCCATCACGGGGCCAGGGAGAAAGGCTACCTCCAGCTGCCTCATCACCCACCACAGGGAGAGGGCCCTACCATATGACCCAATATGTGGAGCTTTCTACACTGGGCTAAAGAGAAAAAAGGTTGGAAAATATCTGCACAGGGGGCTCTAATTTCATTTGAGGTCTCTAGCTATTAAAATAAATCAATTAAAAAAAGTATCTATTATTTACCAAAAAAAAAGATTCATACACAAACCATGCCATCAACTTGAAACTGTTTTCTTCCTGTGAAACGCAGGCTTCCGTAGCAGACTATTGCCCAATCTCCTTGAGATTTTCAAACGCACAAATATTTTTCATGACAGAGCAACTATAATGAAGCTCGTCACATTGGTGTGGTTTACACAACACACCTTTTACAATCCCACAAAAATGTACCAGTGCTGAATGCCTGTCAAAAACCTGAAGTTTGCAGCATTCAAAAGAAAAAAGCTCACAACCAGCCACCGCTAATGTGTTGAATATTTGAAGTACGTGCAAGCAGCACACATTGAACTGATAGGTTATCACCAACCACTGTGGCAATAACAATGCCTACATACTTCTGGAAGGAAATACAAAGCTGTGGTGAACTTTTAACTTTGAATATTTGTTCATGTTTACAAGAGAGACCAACCTGATGACATCTAAGGCTTAAGTCATATATTCATCCTTAGGACAAGAGCAATACTGGCACAAACTGGGGAGCTTGCACTGCCCAGGATACATCTCAAGCTCTGTCCTGCCTGGAGATGTCTCTTTAACACTGCCAAACACCCACCAACCCCTCAGCAGGAGGACTGAGACCACAACTCCTTTGAAACACCGTAGAACACCCCATTACCAGTTCCACAGAGCCACCCTGTCATTTTATCTAACAGCCCACTTAGTCTTGAACTTCTTTGAAAACTCACCGAACA